AATGTTTTCCACACAGACATAGTATATTGTACTACAATGTTTTCCACACAGACATAGTATACTGTACTATAATGTTTTCCACACAGACATCGTATATTGTACTACAATGTTTTCCACACAGACATCGTATATTGTACTACAATGTATTTTATTATGTTTTACGTTACTACTATGCTGTAAGCCATTGTATTATCATAATGTATATGGTAAGACATTGTATTCCATTATATACATTATAATGGATGTCATTATATTCGATTGTAATTGATGTATTTCGATGTATCATACTGTGATTGATTATTGTTTATTTCATTGTTTTGTGCAGTACTATTAAGTTGTGTGTCCCTGTATTGTACTGTACTATTATAATACATTGCAATGTATTGTCCTGTTGATATTTTTATATATATCTTATACCTGGTCGTCGATGTATCGTAAAGGCACAAGCAAATAATTATAATATGAATATGAAATTGATCATCAAGCCCCATCGGTTGGTTGGGGTTCCAGTCACGCTCCGTACTAAGTAAATAAAACAAGGAATTGTCGCCCCTTATAGTACGGTACACAGTATCTCTACCTAGACCGGTAGACACGGTTTGACGAAATTGTCCCTAACATGATATGACGCAAATAATGGGAAGTTAGCGAGTCTAATAACCGGTTACCAGGCCCCTCGCCACTACTTACTAATCTAGCAGGTATAAAGGGCCTGTAATTGTTTGCAATCACTGCCATTAAAGGCGATGTCATCAGGATTTACTGCTGAACTGATGGGTCGTATAGTATTTTTACACGCTACTTTCCTTAAAGTAGTGTTAATCGTTTTCCAAATGGCCCCGTAATGATTTACTCGTCCAATATATATAATACAGCCAGTTGATAATATCTTTTTCATTTGACACGCTGAAGTCTATAAAGTTTTGGCAAGCGTGTGGGGTACTACACACACGGACACACACACACACGTATCTATTTGTGGTTTGTTGTATAAAATGTTATAGATGGATGCATACAGTTGCATATTATAAATACTGGCTGGCAAGTGTGAAGGGTCAAAGGTTAAACTATACACTGTGTTTCAAGGGTAGACAATGAATAGCATGTCTAATGGAAATTAAGTTTAAACTATTTCAGTCGTATCGTGTGCAGGGTTATTACTATTGCTCTGGCGTACAGACCTATATTTATCACTCAACAGTAACAAAAACGTCAATGAGTCATTTAGAATATTGTAAAATATTTGTAATATTTTTTTTATTATTTAAAACAGATGGCCGTTGTGTGTTCGTGTATAAGTTTCTAGTATGATGATGATTATGGGCGAAGGAACATTTTATTTTAATTTTACATTTCCCTGACCATTTGTTTATGCAAAATGTTTCAAGTATTTTTTTATCTTTTGATCTCTACGAATTACAAGTAATCGAATATCTATTTCACATGTTTATGTAAATATGTTTCAATGAATAATTAGTAAAATCAATTTCATTTACTAGTACCTATGTATTTTTGCTATCTCTCTCTCTCTATATATATATGTAAATGTAAAGAAAATCAACACGTGCGGTGATATCCCTTATATCATTTGCTCGTTACACTGGGGTGTCAGTGTTTTCCGACATTCGTAATACCGGAGTATCTGAAGTAACAGAAACCCAAAGTTATATCATAACTCGATGAAAATCCCATCAATTTCTCATCAAATATTATTTTCTTTGACATATTCTGTTCCCGATCTCTATACCTCGGTTCCGACAACAAACCTCTGCCTCCCCAGGGGATGCCGCGCGGGCTGGGGCACCCCGGGGTTCTCGCTAGGGGAGGACAGTGTTTACAGTTAGCTTTGACTCCTCGACCAGCCACAGATGTAGACACTACACGGTCAACGATGTGTGTGTCAACTGTATTTAGACGCCATTTTGTAGTACAGAATCGGGAGATACACCTCCGGCTGTTTTTCCGTCAAATTTTTTGATTTATCATCACAAAGGCTTCATATATTTATCTCCTGTGAAATACACTCCGATCTCATGTTGATATTTTGAATACATTATCATATTATTATCCACGATTCTCCCCCTGTCTTCAACGTTGTTTTATATGATAACATTTCATTACGAGTTTTTTACTTGAATTTAAGTGTTATTTTATGCATTATTTTACTGTAAAATAGATAATAATTTGTTTTTGTGACAATTCATATTATCACAATTTATTGTTTAAAGAAATCTTTTAATTCCTATTACGAGAGAATATTCTTAATATTTAAAAATCAAATTGTAATATTTCAACGTAATTTTCTATCTATATATTTTTATTTATTTATCTATTAATTAAATTATTTATTTTCAAATAGAAAATATAAACACATACTTTATAATAATTTATGCATAACTAATTAGAAATAAATATTTTTTAAACATTACATCAGGAGAAGTACAATACATCTAAAACATATTTGTGTTTCTCCAATATTGTGCAATTTGTTTAAACTCGGACGGGCCATGGAATATTCTTAAATATTGTCATGTTTAACACACAAAAATAAAATGATTTCTCAATAGTTTCTATCATAAATTAAAAGATATTCTTGTCTGTCATTTCGACATATTTCATACCGTAAACTGTTTTTCCTTTGTAAAGTCTAGCGAACTAAATGTCGGGACTGTTTTGAATCAGTGTTGTCTGGCCCGGCGGCTTTACGCTATGATGGGAGCGGATCCGGGCGATATTTTACGACTATTTTTACTACACGCGGTTTGTGTTTAATTCAAGGTACAATAAATTAGGTTTACACCGACAGAAGAAATAAATAATAGGCTATTTTACATGGATCTGTTGCTCCATGATATACCGTGTAATTTATACAACAAAAAGGTTTATCGTATTATTTTTTACTTAACACTTGTTACTTGAAGCTTTCGTCAAGTATGAATACTGCATATATGTTCATCACATAAATAACAATTAAGACGTTTATAATTTGTCATTGTGAAATGTATCACAAAATTAAATTAATTTTATCTATGATGAGTATGATGATGTTTTAAGTAAGTTCTATGCTTATATATACATATAGCAATATACTGGTTTTGATTTTTATTTAGTACTTACTTTTAAATTATATTAAAATTAATATTGTTCTTGGGAAATGTTCCATTTATTTAGTGAAAATTGAATCACTGGCCTGGCCTTTTATGTTGTAAAAAATACTCTATGGTTACAAATTTCTAGTGGTCGCAAAAATATATTACAGTGAATAAATAAAAATTTAACTTAAAATCTACACTTTAAAACCCATGTTTATACTAGATACATCAGATCTCTCATGTTTATGTATTTACAGCAGAACAATTTTGACCTAAAAGTAATGTAGACCAGTTCAGGTATTGACAGCGTGATTCTTTCTTATCAAAAAAAGGTAACAGTCTTGTATTGTTTACAAGACGTCTATACAAAAATAATTCTGCCGGAATCGATGTATTTTGTAAGCAGTAGGCATCGATATAGAAATGTATTTAATTTAATCACATAATTTCGTTTTAAAATGCCTATTCATCCACAAAACCGCATTGTTTGTATTTAGAAAATAAATATTTGAATTTTAAATGTGTAAACATGTGTACGTGTGTTTACATAGTTCATTTAACGTTATTTTACTCAATATATTTCGACAGAAACAAACAAAATATTACTTCGATTTTGCCACGGGTTTTACTGTTTAAGTGATAAACGATTTAAATGCCAAGTTAAGTTATAAAACGTTAGATAACGATTAATTTAATTTAATATAATTGCAACAAGTTTACGTATTTAAATAAAAGACGTCCGAATAAGACTATACAAAGACTTTATTTATCTAAACGAGAACCTGTTAATTTGATCTATCCCTGCTTTAGAAAACGGTATGTTTACATGGTAACCGATATTATGATATAATTAGTAATTTACCGTGACAATTACCGAGACTCTCAGAAAACAGACAGCTATTTCTGTGGACGGTGCCGCCGAGCTGTTTGATTGAATTAGGCCATTTTACAGAGACAGAAGTGAGGACTATTATGAGGGTGTAATACCGTATAGAAGAGAGTTATTTGGTCTATGCCGACTTGTTTGATGCAATTAGACGTCTTTTACTTGTTGTACGTGTTACATACACGGCGGGACTTCTCTCCACACGCGATTTGACCGAAGTAGGACCGTCCGTACCTGGTGCAAGCTGACCCCTACCGTGACTTTAAATGTCCTTTTGTCCACCCCTCTTTGTCCACATTTAACTTGTCTGCGGGATCTTATTTCGTAAGCCACATGTAGAACATATCTGAGTAGCGACACACGAAACACAAACACACATATATGTTATAGCTGGTGTACGTGTGGCAACCATGGATGGAACAACAACTCGTCGAAAACGTTTATTTTTTTAGCATGAACTTGTGGTAGGGTGTCTCATTTGTATCGCACAGTAATGTTAAGATGATGCTGTATAGTTAGCACAGCGCCAGCCAAAATCTGTACGAGACCTACGTGCTAGGTCAGTGATCGCCATGTTTTCAATATTTTGAGTAATTTACATGAAGCACTGCTATACATACACACATACAGATTGATCCCGATCGGCGTTACACTATATAACAATGTGTTTGATACAGAATAAACTATACTTACAAGTCATGAAAATCCTTTTTTAATTACACATCTCCACGTAAACATTAATCAAAAGCTCACACACACAGGTAAAATCACAAAAACCACAAAGGTGTCCCGATTAACAACTAAAATCCCTTTCATTTTCAAAACTGTAGATATCAGAGTAGCACTGGTTCTCACCAAACCACCATCAGGCATAGATTGAAACGGGTCTGGAAACGAAAGTTAATCCAATCTGCCGTTTTAAGATGTTATCCTCGCGTTAAGTAAAAAAATCCTACCTGCCACGGCTGGGGCAAACCGGGCACATGACTGACTCGAAATCAGCCCGATAGTGAAACATAGCCCGCGATCATTAGTGAAACCCCCTCTCCAAGTCACAAGTAACTGGTGATTTTAATACCACGTGAAAAATTGGCCTTGTGGTGATTTGTGAGTCGGCCCTTCTGCTTGTGACAGGCCATGAAAAATAACAAAATTATTGCTAGTAATTACTTCCGTCCGATCATAATACACGTCTCTCCCCCGTAGCAGACACACTCATCTATCATCGCCGGCCCAGTCGCGCGCAGAATAATCAACAGTTGAATAAAAATTTGAACACTGGAATTCGAGAGACATGTAAGTAAAATGACTGAAAGACATCTCTAGAAAATTAAAAGATAATTCCAGTTTGTATGCCATAGTTACGTTTGTAGGCTGTACATGGCCCATACGGAGTATGTCTTGGCTATGACGATTGGCTGGTAAGGTCATGTGACCCCGGTAGCAGTTGGTTAGTCTCGAGTTGGACCATAGACGCACTGTACTTTTTAATGCATTTAGCCAAATGCTATACGGATGTCGATCAACAAATATAAACTTCTTAATCAGATGCCGGCAATAGAGGGTCGGGTGCTAGGAGTGGAATTATTCTCTTTTTTACACTGAGTGTGATGACGATGGACGACGGCAGGGAATCTGGTTTTATCAACAGTCAACCGAGTATCGCAGAATTTATGACTTGTGTTGGAAGTATCAATGAAAGTGTCGTGCCTCCCCCATCCATCACTGTCCAGGAGCTAGGGTTACGGGGGGCCTACTGTCAGCCCTTCGCTGCCAACACCCACCCACAGGCCGGCCTCACCCCACAGGATGACCCCCGGGCCATTGGGGCAGACCTCACGGGACGGGACCCGTCCGGAGTAGGACTCGGAGATGGGTCCGGACTAAAATTTCAGGAGTACGCATGGATGAAGGAGAAGAAACCTATCCGGAAACAGTCCCCCGGAGATCCAAGCCCCGGAGGTCAATCTGATATAGGTACAATTTTTATTAAGCATTTCTAATCTTTCTTTTTTTTGTATGAGATACGAAGCATCCCAGGTATCGATGACCAACAGGTATGTGAAGATATCTGTGTCCATATAGACACCCACGTTCGAGGGGGCCTATCCGTACCTAGTACCAGTTTACAGTAAAACTGCATTGCTGTTCTTTACATTTTGTTGTATTTCTAAAATCTGCAGGTAAAATCTCAACGAAAAAAAACCCCTTCACATATAAAACGTTCGGGTATTAATTTCCTAGCGGGTATTGTATCGTTTTTTCTTCCAACACCCGTGCAGTGACGTTTGGCGTAACCTTAATGAACCTGGGTAAAAATACCCCGAGCTACAAATCGTGAAGATCCGTCACTGATACCCATTGTTTAAGCACTGATCTTTTATTCTGTGTACCAATCGTTGGCAAAACATTTAAATCTACCACAAACCCGCTTTACTCGTTGAATGCAGGCTAGATATTTTTTCTTAGCTAAGGTCATCTCTTCTTTTTCTTTTTGCACAAATCATTTGTCAAAATCATTCTCCCCAGGAAATTTGTTAATGTGTCTTTTATGAAATGGTGCCAGTTTAGAAAATCACCTACACGACTCCTGTAAGTATCTTTCAGTGTAAACTCATTATTTAATATATAAATATTTACTTGTATATTATATGTGTTACATTCTTGAGCAAAGGACATTCTAAATTAATATTAATGATCAAATATTGACACATGTTTGCCAGTGGGCTATAAAGAAATTTACAATCAACGAATTGAAAATTACATCGGAGTGTGAACTATAATTCACTAGCTCTATAATTGATTCAACAGATAAATTATCTTAAATAATTTTTAATTGAGATCAACTTGATAGCTAACATTAGAAATTTGTATGCATAAGAAAATAGGAGATAATTTTTGGTTGTCAGCACATCTAAATGTTTTAAATATGTATCAAATTGACCAGGCTAATCTTTATAAGGATAGATGAACCGTACATTGTCAGAATATATAAGCTGGATAGTTGTCAGATGTTGAGACTGACAGCGTAAGTCTGGGAGCTAGTGGTCACGGTTATGTAAAAGTATTGTTTGATGATGAGTAACTGGCAGAAATGACCGCTGTTAAGTGACCCTAAACATCCTTCATAATCAACAAAAGACGGCAACAAGTGGCAACATTGGGACTGAAGTTAGCGTAAAAAGATATCTACATTGGACTGAGGAATACATTGCAAGCCGGTTTATTTTAAATATGATAATGTTTCCTAACATGTATATCAGTTATATCAGTTTTGCCTATTTCATTTAGAAACTAATATCAAAGTTTGAAATAATCCTATTAATGTTTCAAATAATTTAAACTATGTTTATGTTGTTAATTTCAACAAGTATATATATTATTTACTAAACAAGAATGCAAGTTACTTTTTCACACAACAAAAATTGAAAGCTGTCGTTCTATTTACCGTTAAGATTTATGTGTTAAAAACGTAAATAAAAAATGAGAGAAATCATTAATTTTTTAACCATTCAATTACTTAATTTTCCCTTTGGAGTAATGAAAGAAAGATATTTGTAATTCGGATTGAAGTTAACGTGTAAGAGCAGAATGATGATTCGCCATATGTTTACAAAGAAGTGGATTTTACTGTAATTACATTTCGAGGAAGGGGGTATCATTAAATTCTGCTACAAATAAAGATTCGCTTTAATGTATAAGGAGTTGAGTGTGGTCTTTAGTATTTGTAGAATATTTCTACACCGCGCCTCAGAATCCATTAATCAAACGATGGTTTAGCAGCGCAAGTGACATTTCAAATGTTGAGATTTTCGGAGATAAAGGCGCAATGCTAGGTCGAGTAATTCACCTATGGTATACCACACACTGGCTGGAAAATATCTTAACACGGCAAGCTAAAAAAGCACATAACCACCTAAGTATTTCATATTTATAAAGAGTTCTGCGACACATGTTTAAACTTTTCTTTGTGAGAAAAAAAATCACCAAGTATCGTATCTAGTTCTAACTGTAATTTAAAATAAAGATAAAATTGTTGTTTTTAACTCATAATCCTCGCTTTATTGCAACGGAATTCAATATAACAAAGAAAGTTAGATCAAAAATAATTTTATCTCGTTTTTATTTCATATGAAAAATACTACAAAAGTGTTGAAGTCGATTAACAATATATATTTCAATCTTTTTTTTCTAACCTAAATTGCACTGGTAATTTTAAGAAATTGGCACTGTATCCAACAATTACAAAATAAATCATTTGTTAAAAAGGAATAGTAACTATAAGATCTTACCATAAATTGAGTATTTCCTATATTTATTTCGATTCTCCTTGTGTGTAATTTAAGATACAGTATCGAGGGAGAATCGAGTTCCAAGTTTACTCGTGAGAAAATTGTTATGTTTGTATCACCCTCTATTATAAACCTATAACATTTAACTGTTCTTGTAGGTAAGCACTAGACGTAATTAAATGTTCAAACTATATGTTAAAAGAGATGCAGAATATATTACAATTTTAATAAACTGCACGATGACAAACGTATAGATCTAGACCAGGCTGTAAGGATTGGAGGGGAGCAGGGCTATATATTTTTTAGCGTTTACATAATTATATGTTATGGTGATCTCCAAGTCAATGATGGGTTATATTAGCCCCTATTACTTGGTAAACAACCATCTATTAAAGGCGCTCTGACCCCAATCCTGGTAGGAACAGGCGGCTATGTGGGAGAAAGGCCCCGACCCACTGTCAGTTTGCCCGCCATGTGAGGGAGGAGGGGTCAAAGATCGTCATCTGGCCACACTACATTTCTCACGAGAGACTCCGAGAATTCTATTATCAATTTATAAATAGATCGATTAATGAAATCCTTCGCAGTTTAGAAATGATTCATTATACCATATAATGTCCACGAACTTATGGTAATTTCATAATTAAAAACATAACATAAAAAATAATATCCTGCTGTGTATTCAGCATATTAATTCCAGGCTGCATAACATAGCATCTCTTACTCTGACGTAGCCCCTGCTTCATTAATTGTTGATGCTGATTTGGACGTTATTGTGGCGGATTCAGAAACTGATCTGAGAGAAGGGTTTGAAAAACGTCTTAGGGGGTTTCCAAATGAGAAAAAACCCGCAAAAAAGGAATAAATAAACGTGAAAGGTTTAGTTAGGTGGGGTGGGGTAGGGTTTTAGGCATGGACTGTTCCAAAAGCCCTCGACCCCTCCCCACTGGGCCCTCCCCACTGGCCACACAATGTTTCAAAAAGAAGGATCTCGATGTTCTGAAAAAAATGGATAAGAAAAATATCAAAAAAATACCTCATGTTTTTGTCTAAATTTGGAATTGAATGATACTCGTGTACATCTCAGGTTTCACATACTTCAGACTCGACCTACTCGTCGGAGTATTATAGTATTATAGTCTACGTTACGACTGACACGAAAGCTTAATTAACTCATATACTCGCACGCTATCTGTCGAAGAAAATGAACTGATCATTTTTTTTTATCATAATTGAATATATTGAAAGTGTCACTCGAGATATCCAAGGGGTCGTGAATAGATGAAGTCAGAAAGATGTTTCCCGTAAAACTATCACATGACGACTTCATTACGAGGTCGACATACCTACAGTATAAACTATAACGGTAGGTTTTGATCTACGACAGGAGAGAAATGTTTCTATTAATATGTAAATATACAAGGCAGAGGGTCGGGTGTGTTTAGAAATAGTCGATACGCTTATTTGATCAGACACAGAAAGTTTTTATATCTTGCATCGTTCTTTTTTTTTATACTGAATTGTTTTATCGTACTATTACTTGGGTAGAAACTGTGGGGTATTTCTTAATTGTTTACATCTTTTTAATCGACTAAAAAAGTGACAAAGATCTGTGACTGCAAAAGAACAGAATCGTCATAAAAAATGAAAATATTGAGGTCATTTCGATAGCTCCCGTATTTTGTTTTCGTGAACTTATTTTTTTTTTCTTTTTCTTTTTAAATCATTTCATATTCAGTTAACGTGACACATATTTGTTTATCAATACATGTTTTATTTTACCTACCCTTTTAATGATGACATATAAGGGTGACACGTCGATATCCTAATTAGTAATGAATCGCCATTGAGGTACTATACATGTACCTCTCTTCTCTATGCGGAGTGAGACAGGGAGCCTATACACAATGTTGGGGATTGTTCATGTGAATGCTATGAAATATATATATCCCCAAGTCAATACATTGCATGTGTACAATTTTAGATTAGGGATGAATAAGAGGGCACATGTGTGAGTAAGGGTTCTCGTGTATTGATGTACGTGTGCAAGTATTTATAAATCAAATGTAAACGTTCACTTGTGCAATTTATGGATGGGTTGGTTGGCACGTGTGTGAATAGAGTGTCACGTGTTTAGGTGAGGGATGAATAGAGTTGCACGTGTGTAAGTAAGGAGTGGGTAGTGAATGTGTAGATGAGGTCGGGTAACACGTGTAACTGAGGGGAAGGTTAGACCACAGGGAAATTTTTACATAATGTCGATCTGAACCCCCGTAACCGTTTTTTTTAGTTATTCATTGTACACATAAGGAGAGGTCCCAATATACCAACAACATAATGTTTTAACTGTCATGCCCCTGTGGGGCGTGGACTGTACAAGTGAAAGATGGATGACGTTGCACGTGTGTAAGTGCGGACTGGGACTGAACTGCACGTGTGCATGTTTAAATGAGGATCTGCATGTTATTAATTTTAGGGTGGGTAGCAAAGTATATACCTGTGTACATTAATGCTGATTAGTATTGTTTATGTGTAAGTGAGGGATAGATTGGGCTGTAAATAATTCTCCACATCAGCACGTGTAGAGGAGGGAGGAGTGTTGGGGCGAGTGTCTAACAAGATGTAATCGTGCGATAGTCCATTTATCACACCTAATTGGCATGTAGACGTTTCAATGTCAATGTT